TGTGACAGAGCCAGAACTCCACACTAGGCAGAGGGAATCAAAACCTCTGCAACAGGGCCCTGGCATGAGCACTGTGAGAAGGGGCCAGAGGTGACCCCCACGGGAGCCAGCCAAAGAACCACCATGTTTTGAGGGAGGTTAGCACTTCAACGCTTATAAACTTGCAATATCACAAAACCCATCAGGAAGTAAACAGTGGCTATCTGGGACACTCACAACCACAGGCATTCCAGATAAGTACTTTTCCAGAGAGCAGAATATATATAACTCTTAAAGAACAAAAAAAAATTGAAGAGAAATTTTTCTAAAATACACTAAATCCTACTTTATGAATAAACCTTCTCTCAATGGCTCAGATCACTAGGATAAATAATCAGTGTACTCCATAAACTCTAACTACACTATTCTATGATACAGGGCTAAGAGGCATTGTTGAGCCCTACACTGACCTGCTTTTACTTTTTTTAAAAGTACTCTGAACTGCTATTTTTATTTTTTCTGTTTTCCTCCTCAAAGGCAGAATGTCAACTACCACTTATTAGTGCTGGAAATACCCCATAGCAGCCATTTCTAGTTGTTTATCTGCTAGTCATCCCCCAACTTCCTTGCTAATAGAAGCATAATTTTGTTTGCAGCAGCAGTATTTAGACCAGCCAAAAATACTTCTTCTCCCAGACTCCTGAGCAGCTAAGAGTGGTCATGAAGCACAGGCAGCGGGGTTCTGGGAGAGCCTGCTTCCCGGCCATAGACCCCATTCCTTCTTGCCTGCCTGGGGTAGAAATGTGAGCTCGGGGAAAGAGCATTAGAAGCCTTGCAACCATGAGGCCATGAGCATGAGTATGAAAATCTATACAGCTAAAGAATATTGCATGGGAAAATGTTTGGGTTCCCAATCTACTTATTTTTGAGCCACTGGACCAGATCTGGTCTGCCTACTTTGGGGCTTCTAAGTAAATAAATAAATAAGTCCTTATTTACTTAATTCATGGTTTGCTGGAGTTTTAATATGTACAAACACACTCATGATTAATAAACCACCCTCATAACTAGCTAACTTTAATCTCCCACAAGCTTAAGCATTAAATAGTCAAGTATATTAAACAGATAAAGCATCTCCATGGGAAATCATGGTGAGCTCTCATACATTAATCAACGCATGAGGTTCATGAGATCATCTTGTCTGTGCAGGTCTTTCTATTTTGTGGTTCTGAATAGGTGAAGTCTTACTGTAAAAGGAGCACCTGGAACCCATTTCCAGTCCTGATGTTATGTTTCACACTGAAAAAGATACAGCACCCTACCGATACAGAGAAGGAGCAACATTGCTACTGGAAGGGAGGAAGCCATGGATGGGACGAGTGTCAGGATCAATTTCTTGCCTAATAGACAAAGGCTGATAAAGGATTTGACTGAAATGTATAAAAGCATGACTTGTATAGAAAAGGTGAACAGAAACCTATTCGAAACAGTGAAGGCAGGAAGTGTCCTATGAAATACTGCTTAAATAAATATAGGACAAAAGGGTAATAAGTACTTTAAAGAGCAGATAAAGTTAAAATTTACTTCCCATAGCTGCAAAGTATAAATAGATTTCTTTTTTTTAAAATGGAAAATTTGTAAAGTCAGAGGCAGTAAGGTCGACTATAAGAAGCTGGAACATACTGTGAGATAGTTTATTAGGACATACAATGAGCCAGGGCTCATCCCTTCACCTCTCCACCCAAAACCATCAACCTGTCCCAAACCATCAACCTAGACAATCAATTCCTACTTTCATCTAATGCAGGACCTTGTCCTAGTTTTTCACAAATTACCATGAACATGTGTGTATCTGTATGACATAGAGGATGTGTACCCACCTTTCCAGGTTCACAGAGATATTTAAAATGCAGGTCATTATAACCATCTAGACTCCAACATAGGGAATTATTGTTTATTAAACCACAAGATATAAATGGAAGAAAAGGATCAGAGGAGGGAAATGGATAAACAAACAGGGTTAACCGGAAAACCTATCTCCACATTTGTTCCTGAAAATTTTCTAAAATAACAATTCCTCTTATTAAATAGTTAATACTAAAGAGAACCTGCTTCTAATTGTACAAAATATGCTGGTTAGGTCTTCCTGCTGGAGCGAACTTAGTGATAAGAGCCTTACAATTTCAACGGGAGCGATGCTTCGCACCAGCTGCTGGAGGAGTGTGGCTTCACAGTAAGGAAATTTTCTGATACTTTCTCTAATGATCTTTTCTTGATATATCGGAAAGCCATCCGAAGGTCGGCCTTTTAATAAGCTGAAAGATAGTTTTCAAACAGTAATTGGAGTTGGATCACTCAGCATTTCCTCCCAGCTGAACCCATGAACTTTTAGTAGTTTCTTCTTGGCTATTTAAGATTGTCATTGTCTATTCAAATCATGGTCAGACTAGATTCAAATTGCTGTTCTGCCGCCGGGTCAGGAGAGGCCTCGTCAGCTCTATTTATGCAAGTGACCCCTGCCATAAAGCACAAGGAACACTGCTATCAGACTCGCTAGTTACTTATTACCATGTCAGTTATTTGTACAAAGAATGAAAACTCTCAGCAAGTCACACCCTTCCGACTGAGTTCACTTTTTCTCAGGAAAACTAGGAGAACTTGATCCCTGGTGGTTAGAGAACAGAGGTAACACACAGCTGTCCCAGGTACAGTCAGAGACACAGTGCCGTGACGAATCTAGGGCACCACCTGTGGCACAGCACACCAGTCCTCACACTTGCACTGGGGCTACTTTCTAGCTGTCTGACCTATGTGTGATATTTCACCTCTCCAAACCTCAGATTCCTCGCTTGTAATGGGGGATAACAAAGCCCTGTAGAGAGCACAGAACAGAATGATCAGTCTACAGTCTAAGTATAAAATTGTCCCTGTTTCTTGCAGACTGAAGGTGATCCCAACGGTAACAAACGGCTACTAAAATACTTAAACTTTAAATCTATAACGAGGCTTCATATAATGAAACATTCTGTATTTTATACGTGGCATGATAAAAACAGTACCTTTTGATCAGAGTATCCAATTTATTCTCTCCATCTTTTAAGAAGTTAATACATTTCTGAAAGATGCAGCTGATGTAATGCATTTTCATAGCCAATACTTCATTCATGTCACTTTGCTTCATACATTTCTCACAAATCAAATCCATCACCTTGTAGCACTTGTTCAGAGCTGCTTCTTCTGCCAGCAGAGGGTTCTCATTTATAAGCATCACGATCTAGAAGAAATTCTAGTGAGACTTTTCTGTATAAAAATTAGGTACTCACTTTTAGTTGATTTCCAAAGATTACCAAGGAGTCTTTCTTATAGCCACAGACTTACTACATTAATTCAAATTAGAATGCAAATGGCCTTGATCAAAGTTAAAAACTAATACAGAAGGACCCTGATGTTTTGGAATTTTTTGAACTCTTTATGTCAAAGTTATGTGAGCTGCCATCTATGGTGTTAGCTGGCTACTCAGAGTCATGGTTTTAGTATCTGTTAAAAGTACTTTTACTAAAGATAAAAATGGTATATTTGCACACCCTTTATATATAGAATCAAATCAATAAGTGATCACTTCTTTTAGTTAACATCATTGAGCTTTAGAATTTCATGGCTAAAAGAATTACAACTCTCATTAACTCTTACTAATTTTAAGGAAATTACATTTTTATAGAAATAAGTACAAATGAAAGGTGTATTATTTTCTGATTAACTACATTTCTCTATGGAGATTTTCTCTATATCTTCTAGCATCCATAATAATGAAAAATAGATCAAAAAGGAAAGCAAAAATAGCTTCAAAAGGAGGAATATTAGAGTAATTAAATTTGATGCTTTATGAGTCCCAAACTTCCCATATATGCCCAAATTAAGCTCAAACCTAGTGTAGTGAGGAGTATTTTTTTTTTTACCAACTTTGTTATAGAGTAGATAACATGCAGTAGGTCTGCAGAGAACAGCTGTAAAAATCCAGTGGCATAACAGTAAGTAATGTAAACATGTGTGTAACATGGGTACAATTGCATACACTGAGCAGAAAGTCAATATTTGTTAACCAACATGTTACAGCTAAATACCTATCCCAGATAATGTAAATGTTAGGGAAGAACAGGTAGCAGACTTTATGAATTAGATCCTTTTTTTTAGACATGAAGAAAGATAATTTGTTAACTTAAGTAAAACACAGGCCTAGCCTCCTACTTGGAAGTTTTATATAGATTAGGTGTTCTTGTGAAATTAAAATTATTTTTACACTACTAGATTAATATGTAATCATGTATTTTACTTAAAATAGCACTCAAAAATAAATTATTAGAGTTCATGAAATAAGTATAATCAGACCCTGTTGGT